ATTGATTGTGGGGGATAAGTCTGCTTAAATCTCAGTGGGATCAGGAAACCTCCCATAAAGAACAGCCTGTCTTGAAGTCAGATCTCAGCATTTACTCTGCTTCTTTATTTGACAAAATCCTCCATATGATTCCTGTCAGAGGTGCCGACTCCAGGGGTGCTCTGGGTCTCAAGCATGCACTGAAAAAAAAATAGGGTGCTCAGCACCCACAGGGCCAGATTAATCTTTGGTGGGCTCTGGCACTCGGACTATGGCCTTGCCCCTCGCTCCAGCCCAAGGCCCTGCCCCGGCTCGGTCTCTTCCCCGCCAAGACTCTGTCTGCTACTCCATCCTGAAGCACCACCGCCACTCAGCCTGTTCCTCCTGAGACCCCCTCCCACCACTTGCACAGGGGGAGGGGATGGAGAGGAGCACCCACAAGCAAAAGTCAGTGCCTGTGATTTCTGTTCAATTTCATCTCTCCCCCACCCCCCATTAACACGGTATTAAGATGCACACCTCCAGCAGCTCCTATTGCACAGTATTCTACCATAACTTTTTAAAGCCTCCATTATACATGATGTTGCAGCCGCTCCTGTGAGAGATCTGGCTGTGGGGAAAAGAGAAAGGGGCCTCTACCCACCTCTGTCACTAACTCCTCATGTGACTCTGGGCAAGTCTCTTAATGTCTCTGGGTCAGATTTACAAAGGTATTTAGACACATAAGGATGTACTCTGGATTTACAAAAATGCCTAAGAGCACGTCTACACTAATGTAAGCTCACGTTTAGTAGAACTTGAGTTAGCAGACTCTGGGTGTATTAACCTAGGGTTTGAGCGTCTACAAACATTTGTAACTGCAGGTTTGAAATTGTTGAATCCTGAGTCCAGACCTGGAGTGCCTGCATCTATACTGCATTATGTGGGCCTGAGTCCAACTACCCATATCCCAGGCTTCCTAGCTCCTCCCCAAATATGGCCACTCTAGCTCTTTATTCATAGTGCAGTGTGGGAAAATTTGACTGTCCACCAAACTTGACTGTCCAGAGAACAAAGAAAGTTGACCCATGGGATTGTGAAATACTTTTTGGCAGACTCTCAGACTGAGTCCATCTGCAGTGAGGCTTGAACTCATGGTCCTGGTTTGACTCATTTTCAGACCCTCCACTCTCCTGGGACCCTGGTTTGGCGTGATGTGTATAGACAGAAGGGGAATTAGGCTTGAGTCCGAGTTCTAACCCTGGGTTTACGTAGCAGTGTAGACATACCCTAAGAGGTTAGACACTTCTGTAAATCCAACATTAGGTGTCTGTGTGACTCTTTAGGCATCTAAATACCTCTGTAAATCTTTCCTGAGTCCCTTTGTTTGTTCCCCATTAAAGTGGATATAATAACATCTAGTTCACAGATTGATGTGCTTCTTAAATAATGTTTGTACAGCGCTTTGAGATCTTAGGCTAAGAGATGTTATGGTCCTGCAACATGTTATGTCTAATGTTAGATACAATAATTTAGAAAATGCAGGAATACAACACCAAGTGACTCTTAGTTAAACCTGTCTTTGATGAAATGCTATCTTAGTTTTAGGTTGATTGCTTAATTTGGTGAGCAACTGAATTGAATTAATTCATCAAAACTAATTTGAAAAGATCTCTTGAGGCTGTAAGAGCTTGTATCTATTTGTATTTGTTGCTTTGGGTCTATGCATGGTTTTGTTATTGTGTTAACAGCAGCCTTAATTTTGTTTGGTTTTAATTGCATTTGGTCAGTTTCAATGGTAGTCGTTTCTTTTTCTTTTTTCTTCTCCCACCATGTGTAAATCAATTACTGTTTGATTTAGAATAAGGGCTTTCAGTGAAATGATTCTTACCAAGTTAACTAAATTTCACCCCTATCCTCACAAGCACAGCCTAAATCTGGTGGTGAGGTGAAATTACTTCATAGGGATTCATGTTGAGTTTCTGGAGCCATGTTTCCTGGAGTAGTATTTCAACAAACATGTTTGAACATAAGAACGGCCATCCTGGGCCAGACCAAAGGTCCATGTACCCCAGTATCCTGTCTTCCAAAAGGGGCCAGTGCCAGGTGCCCCATGGGGAATGAACAGAACAGCCAATTATCAAGTGATCTATCCCCTTTCACCTATTCCCAGCTTTTGGAAAACAGAGGCTGATGACACCATCTCTGCACATCCTAGCTAATAGCCATTGATGGACCTATCCTCCATGAACTTATCTAGTTCTTTTTTGAACCCTGTTATAGTCTTGGCCTTCACAACATCCTCTAGCTAGGAGTTCCACAGGTTGACTGTGCTTTGTGTGAAAAAAATAATTCCTTTTGTTTTTAACCTGCTGCTTATTAATTTCATTTGGTGACCCCTTGTTCTTGTGTTATGAGAAGGAGTAAATAACACTTCCTTGTTTACTTTCTCCGCACCAATCATGATTTTATAGACTTCTATCATATTCCCCCTGAGTCGTCTCTTCTCCAAGCTGAAAAGTCCCAATCTTATTAATCTCTTCTCATATAGAAGCTGTTCCATACCCCTAATCATTTTTGTTGCCCTTTTCTGAACCTTTTCCAAGTCCAATATATCTTTTTTGAGATGGGATGACCATATCTGCATGCAGTATTAAAGATGTGGGCATACCATGGATTTACATAGAGGCAATATGATATTTTCTGTCTTATCTATCCCTTTCTTAATGATTCCCAACATTCTGTTCGCTTTTTGAACTGCCGCTGCACACTGAGTGAGTGTTTTAAGAGAACTCTCCACAATGACTCCAAGATCTCTTTCTTGAGTGGTAACAGCTAATTTAGACCCCATCATTTTATATGTATAGCTGGGATTATGTTTTCCAGTTATGTTACTTTGCATTTATCAACACTGAATTTCATCTGTCATTTTGTTGCCCAGTCACCCAGTTTTGTGAGATCCCTTTGTAACTCTTCGCAGTCTGTTTTGGACTTAACTATCTTGAGTAGTTTTGTATCATCTTCAAATTTTGCCATCTCACTGTTTACCCCTTTTCTCAGATCATTTATGAATATGTTGAAAAGTACTGGTCTCCTTACAGACCCCTGGGGGACACCACTATTTACCTCTCTCCATTCTTAAAACTGACCATTTATTCCTACCCTTTGTTTCCTATCTTTTAACCAGTTACTGATCAATGAGAGGATCTTCCCTCTTATGCCATGACAGCTTACTTTGCTTAAGAGCCTTTGGTGTGAGGGACCTTGTCAAAGGCTTTTTGAAAATCTAAGTACACTATATCCACTGGATCCCCCTTGTCCACATGCTTGATGACCCCTTCAAAGAATTCTAGTAGATTGGTGAGGCATGATTTCCCTTTGCAAAAACCATGTTGACTCTTCCCCAACAAATTGTGTTCATCTATGTGTCTGACAATTTTGTTCTTTACTATAGTTTCAACCTGTTTGCCTGGGACTGAAGTTCGGCTTATCGGCCTGTAGTTGCCGGGATCACCTCTGGAGCCCTTTTTAAATATTAGCATCACATTAGCTATCCTCCAGGCATTTAGTACTGAAGCTGATTTAAAAGATAGGTTACAAACCACAGTTAGTAGTCCTTCAATTTCACATTTGAGTTCCTTCAGAACTCTTGAGTGAATATCATCTGGTCCTGGTGACTTATTACTGTTTAGGTTATCAATTTGTTCCAAAACCTCCTCTAAAGACACCTCAATCTGGGACAGTTCCTCAGATTTGTCACTTAAAAAGAATGGCTCAGGTTTGGGAATCTTCCTCACAGCCTCAGCCATGAAGACCAATGCAAAGAATTCATTTAGTTTCTGCGCAATGGCCTTATCGTCCTTGAGTGCTCCTTTAGCATCTCAATTGTCCAGTGGCCCCACTGGTTGTTTAGCAGGCTTCCTGGTTCTGGTGTGCTTAAAATTTTTTTTTTGCTATTACATTTTGTGTCTTTGGCTATCTGTTCCTCAAATTCTTTTTTGGCCTTCCTAATTATATTTTACACTTCATTTGCCAGAGTTTATGCTCCTTTCTATTTTCCTCACTAGGATTTAACTTCCACTTTTTAAAGGATGTCTTTTTGCCTCTCACTGCTTCTTGTACTTTGTTTAACCATGGTGGCACTTTTTCGTTCTCTTACTATGTTGTTTAATTTGGGGGTATACATGTTGCATTGAAGGCTCTCTTGGGACTGATTATATCTTAGTACCCAATAATCTGGTTGAAATGGAATTAAGAATCTCCTCTGTACTTTGTGGAGAAAAAACCTAAGAAATGTAATTAAAGAACACAAAAGAGATGGGAGTTTTTCTTGTAATTCAACTGAATTACATTGAATTCACTGAATACATTTGTGTCTTAACCCATTTTGGTGTCAGTATATGTAAATAAATCATGTGGGCTGGACATTCCTAAAGCCAGATCTATCTGTTTAATAAAATATTTTCAAACTGCATTTACTTTTTGTATAATTTCTAAATTGATTAATAGCAGAACCATGGGGGAAATACTTTTTGCTCTCCTGGGGATATGATGTGGACTAGAAGGGAAGGAAACAAATTATATGTGGAATTTTGCCAAAGCAAAATATTGTTTGTGTTCACTTAAAATCAAGGGTGAAAATGAAAACTCCCCTCCAGGACAGTAGAGTTGTCCTTTCACTTTAAAAAGAGGGGAGGAGTGCCAAAATGTGGGGGCAAATTTGTGAAAACTAATGATTGTCTGTCTATCATTCATTTTGCCCATATCACCATACTACCTGACCTATATGAACAGAGTTTTGCCCTTTCGCCATAAAAAGCAACATTAACTGATGGAGATGGTACTAGTTTATTATGGAAGAAATTCACTAATACTTGTGAAAACGTAAATATGCCCCAACTCAAACCTCACAGCTTCAGCCTCCAGCCAGCAAAAGGTTTTACATGGATAAATCCTGAACTTCAGCCTGAACTGGAGTTCTTTTAGAAACGTGTTTTCAGGTCACAACAATAAATGACTTTTGTTTCTCTTTGTTTCATTAGAATGATTACAGGAAGTTATCTATGCAATGCAAGGATTTTGTTGTGGGTGTACTGGATCTCTGCAGGGATACAGAAGAAGTGGAGGCTATTCTAAATGGAGATGTGAACATAAAAGTGTGGCCTGAGCATCACCGCCCAAGCCTGAGCAGAATTAAACTTGCCATTAAATATGAGGTCAAAAAGGTAAGATTTTTCCTTTAGTTGCCTTGTCACTACATTTTACAAGCCAGATTCTGCTTCCATTGAAATCAATGGTAAAACACCCGTTCCTTTCAGTGAGCCCAGGGTTAACCCTTGTAATTTAGCTTTTCTATGGCTTTATGTGCAGGATGGTTGCACATTTTAATATGGAAGACGTTACCATTACACTGTTAATTATTATGGATATAGTGGTGCTTTTACAATGTTAAAAGGAAGGTTGGATGGATCAAGGGATTGGTAAAATTGTATAGGGACCTCTCATCTCTAGGGTAGGTTACACAAGTGCGAATGTGGAAAAGTTTGGTCGCAGTCACAAGTCACTGCCATTGCAATATGCGGTGTTGTTGTAACCATGTGAGTGCCAGGATATTGGAGAGACAAGGTGGGCGAAGTAATATCTCTTATTGGACCATCTTATGTTGATGAGAGAGATAAGACCTGAAGAGCTCTGTGTGAGCTTGATAGCTTGTCTTATGGAAGAGTAGCTGGGGGTTCAATACAACCCCCAGATTGCAAACCCACTAACAAATGTCGGGAGCACACCCTCAGTCTAAGGGATACATCTACATAGCACAAAAAAACCCCCCTCATGGCAGCGAGTTTTATAGCCCAGGTCTAAGCACTCCCGGGTCTCACACTGCAGAGCTAGAAATAGCAGTATAGACATGGAGGCTTGTGCTGGTGCCTGGACTCCAATACCTTCCCCCACCACCACGTTTCAGAGCCCAGGCTCTGGCCTGAGCTCAGACATCTACACTGCAATTTTTAGCCCCTCAGCACAAGCCATAGTTGGCCCAAGACTTGCTGCACTGGATCGTTTTTTGCTGAGTAGACATACGCTTAGAGGGAGATACCAATCTCGTAAGATCACCCGGTTGTTTTGCAAACTTTCAGGCATCACTTTCGGTCTTATCCAGACTGAGCTTCAGCCAGAGAGCTCTAATCCATGCCCCAGGATCTGGTGAGAAAACAGAATTCCGAATCCTCAAAAAAAATTTAGTTTTTTTTGGAGGGTGGGGGAGAATTGGCCCACATCAGGACAAAAAGACAAAACCTTGACATTCTTCACAGCAACCACACACCACACAACAAAAACACTAACCCAGGAACCTATCCTTGCAACAAAGCCCGTTGCCAACTGTGTCCACATATCTATTCAGGGGACATCATCATAGGGCCTAATCACATCAGCCACACTATCAGAGGCTCGTTCACCTGCACATCTACCAGTGTGATATATGCCATCATGTGCCAGCAATCCTCCTCTGCCATGTACATTGGCCAAACTGGACAGTCTCTACGTAAAAGAATAAATGGACACAAATCAGACGTCAAGAATTATAACATTCAAAAACAAGTTGGAGAACACTTCAATCTCTCTGGTCACTCCATTACAGACCTAAAAGTTGCAATTCTTCAACAAAAAAACTTGAAAAACAGACTCCAATGAGAGACTGCTGAATTGGAATTAATTTGCAAACTGGATACAATTAACTTAGGCTTGAATAAAGACTGGGAGTGGATCTGTCAGTACACAAAGTAAAACTATTTTGGCATATTTATTTTCCACCCCCCCTACTGTTCCTCAGATGTTCTTGTCAACTGCTGGAAATGGCCCACCTTGGTTATCGGTACAAAAGGTTCCCCCCGCTCCCTCCGCTCTCCTGCTGGTAACAGCTAGCTCACCTTACCTGATCACTCTTGTTACAGTGTGTATGGTAACACCCGTTGTTTCATGTTCTCTGTGTATATAAAATCTCCCCACTGTATTTTCCACTGCATGCATCCGATGAAGTGAGCTGTAGCTCACAAAAGCTTATGCTCAAATAAATTCGTTAGTCTCTAAGGTGACACAAGTCCTCCTTTTCTTTTTGCGGATACAGACTAACACAGCTGCTACTCTGAAACCTTCACAGAACTTGAATTCTGTAATAGTCTGTTTTGGGGAGTTGAAATGTTCCCCTGGCAGGCATGTTTCACCGTTTGTAAAATGTTCCCCGAGATCCCCTGCTAACAGGCTGCCAAAGAGCCAAAAGCCTGGGAGCCACAGGAGCCATGGAGCCTGAGTGACCAAGCTCCCCTCTACCCTGCCAAGTAGGCAGGTACTGGGATTACCTATAGAAGATCCCCCTCAACAAAAAATGGAAACCCCAATACCCTACCCCTGCTATTGCTCACAGCTAGGAGCTGCTGAGTGAAATTAACAACTGTCTGATCAGTTTTATGGCTGCTATTCAGCCATAGGGAAGCTAACAAGAATTGTCAATTTCAGTCAGCTTCCTGGATTCCAAGCACCCCACCAGTTCACACAGTAGGCTACTGGAGAACCTGGACTTCCCCAATGAGGGTTTGGGGGCCCAAGTTTCCCAGTCAAATGGACTGTCAAGGACTCAAGAGGCCTGGTAGCCTGGGGTCCTCAGCAACCTCCCTGGTGGGTTTGCCAATTGCCTGGAAAGCTACTGGGGAGTTTGGGAGTCAAGGATCTCAGGACTTCTGGGGACATGGGCAAGCTGTCGGAAACCTGCTTGGTTTCCATCAAAATGTCATTGAAATCAACACTGTCCCATTGAATGTTTCTATTTTAAGAAATCGGCATTCTCCGATTGAAAAAAATGTTCTGCTGGAAAATTTCTGAACCGCGCTACCCTGACACAAGGAACTGGCAGATTAATGGGCAGGTAATAATGCAAATCTGAAGGGGTGTACACATTGTGAAAGAGGTGTATTTTGACAATGGATCTGAAGGTGTTGGTTCTCTCTTACACATGGTCCTAAATTATATATTCCCACATACTAAAATTGGCATTCCTGACAGTCTACATATGCCATTTTCCAGCAATGATGCGGCAACACCGAGATCAGCAATGGTGTAAGCACCATTTGAGTCAGGAATCGGATCATGGTTTTCATGAGACTGTCTGCACTAGTGCAATGCCAGTGGAATTGTTGATGTACCCATAATTCCATACTCATCCTCGAGGTTCACCCTCCAGGAAAGGACTGAGAACCATGAATGGTACAATATGGAGAAGTCTGTGTATGTATTCTTTGGATAAAGAGAGGATGTCAGTCTTCAGGGCTCTCAATCTGTCACATTTCATGAGCAGTAAAAAAGAAATTAAGCAACTAAGGGTTTCCCTAACTCCACTCCTATTCAACACAATGTTCCCTTTGAAGTCATAAGCAAAACTCTTACAGGCTTCAGTGAAAGCAGTTAGGCTGACACAGAATGCTTTTGAAAATCCCTCTCTAATACCATTGAGAGAATGAGTGCTGATGTGGCAGGAAATAAATTTAATTCATGAGAAAGTATTTTCTGATTTTTTTGACTGAATATCCAGAAGTTAGACTTAAGGCGTTTTAGCAAATGCTGATCAGACTAAAATACTCCTGTGTCATTTAACCTCAAGAAAGAGATCTGGAGTCATTGTGGATAGTTCTCTGAAAACATCCACTCAATGTGCAGTTTTCAGAGTAGCAGCCGTGTTAGTCTGTATCCACAAAAAGAAAAGGAGGACTTGTGGCACCTTAGAGACTAACAAATTTATTTGAGCATAAGCTTTCATGATCTACAGCTCACTTCATCGGATGCAGTGGCAGTCAAAGTGAACAGAATCTTGGGAATCATTAAGAAAGGGATGGATAATAAAACAGAAAATATCATATTGCCTCTATATAAATATCATATTGCCTCTATATAACTCCATGGTACGCCCACATCTTGAATACTGCATGTGGTCGCCACATCTCAAAAAAATGTATTGGAATTGGAAAAGGTTCAGAAAAGGGCAACAAAAATGATTAGGGGTATGGGACAGCTTCCGTATGAGGAGAGATTAATAAGACTGGGACTTTTCAGATTGGAAAGGAGATGACTAAAGGGGGATATAATAGAGGTCTATAAAATCATGACTGGGGTGGAGAAAGTAAACAAGGAAGTGTTATTTACTCCTTCTCATAACACAAGAACTAGGGGTCACCAAATGAAATTAATAGGCAGCAGGTTTAAAACAAACAAAAGGAAGTATCTTTTCACACAACGCACAGTCAACCCGTGGAACTCCTTGCCAGAGGATGTTGTGAAGGCCAAGACTATCACAGGGTTCAAAAAAGAACTAGATAAGTTCATGGAGGATAGGTCCATCAATGGCTATTAGTTAGGATGTTCAGAGATGGTGTCCTCAGCCTTTGTTTGCCAGAAGCTGGGAATGGGCAACAGGGGATGGATCATTTGATGATACCTGTTCTGTTCATTCCCTCTGGGGCACCTGGCATTGGCCACTGTCAGAAGACAGGATAGTTGGCTAGATGGACCTTTGGTCCTACCCAGTATGGCTGTTCTTATGTTCTTATAACCCTGGTTTCTTGGAGCTGTTGTTCCTTTCTGATTATACCGGCCAAATTCATTCAAGAGTTAAGTGTTTTATTGATCACAGCAAACTAATTTTGAAATAGACACTGCATCAATCCCACCCACTCTGTTGAAGTAGAGTGTGCAAGAGTTAGCTATGTCTCTCCCCTAGCTCTGCTTCATTAATGTATAGAAAAATAAATCAATATTAAAAAGATATTCTAGGACCTCTTCTTCCACTTTTCCAAAAGTAAGTGCCAACGTTCAATCACTCATTTGATCAGGTCACATTTTTAAAGGTAACTTCTGCATTGATGTTACAGTAAGATAACTTAATTAGCGGAACAGATAGGATGTATGAAAGGGGATTATCAAAACTGGTCGTCTGAGCATAAAGAATATATTTTAAAAGCAGCAAAAGAGAGAAGGAAGTGGTTTAGTTTTAGAAAAATATTTAAGATGTTCTGCTTTATGGAAGCATGCTCTGAATGGAAAATTTGGTTCTGGCAAATACTGGGTCTGGGAGGTGCAGATGAATGATTTCAACAATGTGCTTTGATGGAAATTGGGCTCCTATAACTGGGCTTAAAGAGTTGTTCCAAATTTTCCAGCTAACATCTGCTACCTCCTT